TAGAAAAGAAAAATCTGTTCTCGACAGCGTTTAAAGCAAAAAATAGTCCGGAAAATCAATTCATCTTTCTATTGTATGTGGGCGAGATATATTTTATTATCACGAAATTTGAAAATAATATTTCGTAGGAAAATTTGTAAAAGTAACATGCGTTATGCACATCCTGCTCGATGTATACTCGCATTTTAATGAGCTCTGTTGCAATCTAGCTAGGGTTCTAAATTCTGAATTAAGCAAAAAGGCACTGCAATTATTCACGGTTAATATTTCAATCCTTAATATGACTTGCCACCCTACGAAGCACGGACGTTTCCTGGTTTCTAGATATATGGAGATACAGCATTAACCGCAAAAACCTAATTAGTTCATTTCGTTGTGGTTGCATCAAGGTCAAGTGCCTCGTGAAATAATAATTTGTGACTCCTTTCGTAGGATTATTCTCATTGGGATTTTTCCCTTATTCTTATGGCGATACTTAATAGTGTCTTTTATAACTAGTCGTTTTCTCGTCGGCGTTTTCCACTGTAGAAATACTTGGTGTGAGAATAATTCAAAAGACGACACAAGCTATTCTGTACCTTACACTGTGGCAATTATCTATCAAAATAAATAATTGCCACAAAATTGAAAATCAGGGATCAAATTGTTAAAAAAATGGAAAAAACAGGAAAAAGTCAGAGAATTTTGTAAAATTTTCTCGAAAATAAAAATTCTTGGCTTAAAAAAAATTTAATATATTGTACATATATCATAAATAATACCTACATAATTTCGAAATACTATATTTAATATGACAATTAAAAATGCAAGTAATGTCAGTAGCATTAATAGTAATTTACATTACCATATTAAATTGATCTCTCAATAAAATATTTAACGATTTCTAAATCAGAATGAAAATAGAAAAATTTTTTAATATTATTAAAAATCGGAGAAATTGCATGAAATTTTATCTGAAAATCAGAGAAAAGTTATGGAATTTTAGGATGAAGCATTAATTATGACAATCTCTACCTATTTTCGCGAATCTATAAAAAAAAGTTTCTTACTATAAAAAAAAAGTGTGTCAAGCCTCTTATTCGCCATCGCCTTTTTCTTTCAAGAGTGACTTTCTCCTAGTAATACTTCGCATTACCAGATTAATGCCTCTACGCTGATAGGTAATGATAACAGCAATATTCTTGCGTGGGTTATCGAGTGCTGAAGAAATTAACTGGCGGTCCAATCTCTGAGTTTTTTTTATATCTACAATAACGTCTGCTTCCGACGCGACCGATTCTACAGAGTGCAGTCGACAAAATCGCGTGAAAATTCATTTGAAAAGGATTTGCCGCAGAATCTACGCTGTAAACTCGATTTCACTTCGGTGTCTCTGTCGCGAATTCATCGGAATAAATTTTCGCCGGAACACTCTACATTCGTTGTCTGCGCATCGTGTAAGCATTCAATTTCATCGCATTTACCGAAGCTTGTTGCAGTAACATAAAGCTCCTCTGTAATATATTTAATGATCTAGATAAAAGCTTCCAGTGAAAATCGATCGAAACGATATCCGAGCAGAGTACAATACCAGTATTTCTATCACACGGGCGCAATGCTTACATTCTGGTGAGAGAGATTTTCTCTCTCTCTCTCTCTCTCTCTCTCTCTCTCTCTCTCTCTCTCTTTCTCTCTCTCTCTCTGCCTATTTCCATCATACCATAGTGTATTGTCGAAGTCTCAGATTGCCTCGTTCATGGTAAAGCACATTATTATCATTTATCAGGGAATGTAGCCGTAGTCGATCGAGTGCAATGCTCTATTGGCGTTTCTCTGCGGACGAAATGTCACTTGGCTTTATATCGATATCGCCCGCGGTAATGTCGGGCTTTTCGTTGTCGCGCAAGCAATAATATGCGTAATATTTGCATTAGCCTCTAATGTATCCGTCGAAAATTAATTCTACGCGATAAATCCATCGGTATGTGATGTGCGCTGTTCGCGGTTATCGGCAATTGCCATCGACATCAGTGGACGATCTCTTCTGCGTTCTATTCCTGGCATAAAAACGAATTTTAGGATTTACGACCCGAGCACCTTCCGATATCACGATAGCATCTGTCGATGACATCGGACGATCGAAATTTTTATCATTTTTCGTGTTTTTTTTTAATCGAATGTTGCTTTCAAAATGTTTAAATCTTCGAGAAATATATCGTCATTTTAGGATAACTCTTGGGAACATATAAAAAACATTGAATATATAGAGTATCTCTCACAGAACGCCTTTAATCATTCTACGTTTCTCGTGGCTCTCGATGTTGTCTTCGAATAATGGCTTTTCTTCTGCAGCACAATTGAGAAGAAATGAGCATACGTTCCTTTAGTTCGAGGAAGAAAGCAATGTTCTGACTAGCAGTTTTTCTGTATTCAGCTTTCGAACTTTAGTTCCTTGAAGTAATTATTCATTTCGCAGAACGTGAATTTATCGTAATCGATTTTGAGATAGATTGTTTGATTTGAAAAGTGACTAAATTTTTAATCGAGATTTATGAGAATTTAAGAGGTCACTCTCAGAATGTTACTAATGCAATCGCATTAGTTCTGATGTCTTTAGAGTTCTATTTTTTGCATCAGTTTTGATTATTTTGAACAGTTTCTTCCTTCAACTAAGAGAATTCATTTTTTTCTGATCTGATTAATTGTAATTGAATTAAAAAAATAATTGAACGAAAAAAAAGAAGTAATATGGACTTGCGGTGATGATAAAAAGGATGGTGAATTATGCATTCCGTTGAGAGTGTAATTCTGTGAATAGCGTTAATTCAAGAGGGAAGTCGCTTTGGAAAATTAGCCCGGCATTTTCCAGCTCGCAGATTGAATTGCACTTCTCCGATATTACCGCAAAAATATTCTTATTCTATTTGCCCATTTCTTCATGCATTTCCATTATTGAATATGTCGTTATAAGATAACTAATAACACTGCTCAATAAAAAAATTTTTTTTAAACACTATAATTTTCTGGATGCTGAATATCAAATTTGTTTTCCAAATTGCTCCATTAAATCGTAATTTTGAAAAATTTGCAATTAAAGTTGCAAAAAGGGATCATTTTCACATATTTTGTCATATTATAATTACGATATGCTGGAAAAGTTTTATTGCAATCAATTATTAAATATATTATTAGGACTTTCAATTTATGGCTATGGTTAATAAGTTATTCACAGTTAATAATATAAAATAGTCAAGGACTCTTAAAAATTCAATATCAATATAATGATAAAAAGTAAATAAAAGTCGATTCTTTAAAATGTAAACGTAAAAATTATTAATAGTATACATAAAAAACAAAGATATTAATACATGTTTCGACTCCTATATTGAACCATCTTCAGATATTATCCTCTTCGTACTTTACATTAGTTTCCTTTACATTAGTTATCGTCAAAGAGATAAAAAACATAAAGTAATGTGTTCCAATTTATGTAACGATTTTGTTGAACGTTACATGGAAGACATCAGTTACTCACAAACAATTAGATTATCAATTGTTATGGAATTTCATGATGTTTTTCAAAAAGACAAAATTCGTTCATCAATAATTAAATAAATAATTTGATAAAATAAAATTCTTTAGAAAAATTGTCGTTTTTATATGTCTTTGTTAAAAGTAAGCAAACAATATCATCTCGATGAAACACTTATCAGAAGCCAAAACAAGTAATAATATAGTATCTCTGTTTTCTATTATGTATGTATGTATGTTTAACTCCTATTAATAATTTATTTATACGTTTATATTTTAAAGAATCAACTCTTATTTGTCTATTTTATATTATTATTTATATTATTATATTATTATTTATAGCTGAATGTGAAACCTATCGCGGAAAAGTTGTAAATTAGGTGGTGAATTAGGTCATTGATAATTTACCAGATATCTTTCAACGAATTCAATATCAAAATTAATAAATTCAAAGTGATGAATTCAATGTAATGGAATATGTTCAAAACTTGAAAATATTCGAATTATTGCAAAAATTTATATATAGACTTTTATAATTTTGAATTGTAGGTTATTTGATAAATGATTTATAATTAATAACTATATCTGTAATAGAGACCACGTTTAATTAATATTTAATCTGAGTAGATAACATAAATATCTTGTTAATCAAACCGACTAAAAAATCCTATATACAATATATCAATATACTTCAGCATATTCAGTTATATATTGTTACAATAAAAATATATGAAAACTAGCCTTTTTTGCAATATCTACTGATAATAGCTGGATTAAGTCATAAATAAAGAAGTTGAGATTTGTTGAACTATGTAATTGGATCTTAGTGACGAAGTTTCATTTCATCTAACCGCAGGAGAGGTGACGCTAGATCGCAAATGTTTATCTTTCTCGTTTTTCTTGGCTGACTTTTGACATCAGATTGATCCCCGTCATTATAGCTTGAGATCTTGCTTCCGTTTCGCGATTAACCCTTCTTAAATCCAACGTATAAGCGCGCCCACGTTGTATCTACTTTAACACACTAGGATTTCTCTATGGTAGATGAACAGAAGGAAATATATTTTTCCAGGACCGAACATCGATCCAAGTGGAGTTTCAGCAGAAGTTTCACGAACTAAAAGCGAGAATATATTTAAGTGAAGGGAAGAAAGATAGCGTACGGAAGTTAGAAAGCCACTATCTTTGAGATTATTATATTTGATATAGCTAAAAATCAGCGATAACTCGTGCTTAAGCAGGACGATTAGCATTGATGGAATATATCTCTTGTTCATTGATGATAACATCACGTCTAGTAATAGTAGGAAGAGAACTTAAGTGATATTGATCTAATTAATATTAATTATCTTGATATAATGCTATATTATTTTTCATTTATAATTTATTTTCAAGAGCGTTATTTATTCCATATTATTCCATTTATATTATATTATTCCAAATAAATATTATTCAAAAAAAAAAGAGAGAAGAAAAAAGAAAAGACTTACCGATCAATGGATATCGCCATCAATGTAAAGACGCTGGCGCATATTGTGAGAACCGCGATGAACTGGGAAATCTTACAATAGAGCGTTCCAAACGGCCAATGGCTGTTGAGCATATAGGTATAGTTGAAGGTGACATTCAAGGTGGATACCATGGCGTCCGCGATACTGAGATTCACCAGGAAGTAATTGGTGACGGTACGCATCCGCCTGTGCGCCAGCACGATCCATATCACTATTAAATTGCCACCGGTCGCCACGGTGATCATGCCGGCGAATAGAAGCGTCCAAATCATCTGCCGCCACCACGGAAGCACAAATTGATTCCGCGGCGCCAAATCCGTGTAGTTGGTACCATTGTGATAGGTGTCATTGTCGAACCACAGCGTTGTCACGTTCCAGAGATGAGACGTGGAATTGTACGTCATCAAGTCGTCGAGGCTCTGCATCACGAATATCACGGTCTCTTCGCTTATGTTAAGCTAGTATAAGAGCGAAAAACCGTCGCCGTTTTCACCCTTGCTCTTCACCGCTATTCAACCGCCACCGTTGCCCGCCTTTCCGTTTGCAATTTTGTTTCTCACAGCGTCTTTCTTATCTCGCCTTAAAGTGTACTGAGCTTTCGCTCGGAACGCACAATCTTCCCTCGTATTATTCCGTTACTCACTATTCTTTTTTCTCTTCGAGATGAGCCAAATTTTTGATTTCAACTGATTTTTTTTTATAATCTAACATTTATGATAACGATATCGGGATCATTATTTGTCAGGGATGTTTGCATTGATTTATCTCTTTTAAAAGCCGAATATTTTCGAAATACTTTGGTGCTCATAAAATTTTCTTGTCGCTTTATTTAAGGGATAGAAATTTGATACAGGTAGAAACCAGCGCAGTTGTCGTTTTTCAAGGCAAGTAACTTACACATTCCTGTCAGCGCATACCAGTCGACTATGTCGGGTGAGCTTTCATAACTCTAACGTAACGCCGTCGTACGTAACTTTCGTCGTACTTGTTCTCGTAATAGAAGGGCACGTTACAGTCGAGGCATCATGACAATTTTCAAGTTCTTTGCATTCTCTTTTCGTCGTCACAAAGTAAGTTTCTAAATCGAAGAACCGAGGAACATCCATCGGTCGTATTCGCGCTGCTTGTAAATTCCGTTTCACGCTCGCGTCACCAATTCTCTCAATCAGGGTCGATCTTTCGATGAGAGTGCGTCAACTGCCGGCGTCGAAAACACGAGCTTTTAATCTCGGCGTATCACATCGCGTTGAATCGCGTATCGGCAAATCGCGCTTTTTTCCATCCGATCGATCTTAATTGGGAAAATCGCAACGACGCATGGGACGAATCTATTTTGCGGATGAACATGCATTCTTTGTAATTGTTCGCGGGAAGGAATCATAGTCGCTTGATTAAGGAAATCGTTAATTTGATCCCCTTATCGATCATTTTTTATATGATGTACTTTCGATCACTTATCGACTACGTACTGATGTACTTTCACGCGACAAGACATTTCGTTACTTCCATCGCGGTTTTGGTGGCATGTCCGTCAATATTGGCACAATTACTATGTGCCTTCACCGATTAAACTGTGGGGTAACGTTGTGACACTGCCGACTGAAAGTCCTCGACTCGACATTCGAGCTCGCTTCCACTTACGTTTCATGCACGGGCGCTCTCCGCAAAATCCGATCGTTTCCTAAACCGCCGATCGGCTGCTACCGAATGAGATTCCATTGTCCTCGCGGCTTATTCGCCGTAGATGAGTGCGTTTTTTTTCATCGATATTCGAAGCTTCGATATAACTGTTCTTTTCTAGAGATAATCGTTACTATAGCAAATTTTCGTATCGATTTGTTTTTTTTTTGCACAATCAAAAATCAGGAATCGATGATGATCATTCTAATCTCTCAGTTAAAGGAAAATACTGATATTTCTGGTTTTCTGATTTACAAGAGGAGTTTTGTGTTTAATTTTTTCGTCGATATTCGAATCCTCAATATAATTGTTCTTTTTTTGAAAACGTAGTTACTGCTGCGAATTTTCGTATCGATTTGATTCCTTTTGCACAATCAGACACGAGATTAAAAATCGATAATGATTACTTTAATCTCTCGGTTAAAGGAAAAGACTGATGGTTCTCTAGTCTATAAGAGGAAGTTTTAGGTTAATCTTTTCGGTATTGCTCCAACATTGTGTGTCGTTTAATGATCACTAAAGTTGATGTTTCGTCGTGAAATTTACTCGTCGGTTTACGATGAAATAGTTTTTACATATTAATTTCTCCGAGCATCGAGAAAACTCTCTGGAATTCGCGAGTATATTCGTTGTTTCGCGTTTTGTCCTGGAAGGAAAGCCTGGTCTGTCATGTGATGAGAACTTTTAAAGAGATCAAGATTTTTTGCGATTATTCCGTCATTCTCACCTTGCTTGCTCATTACTCAGCGTTCTTTTCATTGTATCACGCATCGTACAATTAACTCAGCTTTCTTATCACGTCTTACACAAATGAAAAAGTTACGTTCTAGTTAGTTCCGATCTTTTACGACTTTGTATGCTTTATGGTCGATTACGTGGACGAAAGCTTTCGTATCATGTCGCTAATAAAATCTTCCTGCAGCAGGAAATTCGTGTTATCGTCAACTTCTCGCCGGATCACGTGCGATGTTAAGGGACACACCTTTCGTTAGCTTCGCGTATTCAATTAAGCATTGACGTTACTTGGAACTGAATCTTCGTTTAAGAGAGTTTACGGAGTTTTCGCTTGCACTTGATACGCCGTTACATTACGTCAGTCATCGTTTCTGTCGTCCGACGCACCTAGAATTTTAAAATACATCTGATTCGCGCGTTTTTCTTTACTCCTACAACATGACTCGCAAACCTTCCTCGGTGTTAGAACGAATTGAGAATTTCATTTCGTTATTCCGTGAATTCAGGTGATCTTCTTAATTTTCAATTGAACGTGTTGTATCTCAACGCGTATGAATGAAATCATCCGTTTATAGCCGAGAGTACTTTGAATAAATAAAGAAAAATGGTGAGAGACAGAAGGTAGATCGCGCTGCGCTTTTCCAAAAAGTTCTCAGAACGTACCGGAAGAAAGTTCGTTCCGCGCTCGCAGGATCGACATGAAAATTCTTCAAGAACAACGAAACTGGTCCCGGAATATATAATCTGTAAAACTTTGAGGAAAGTCTATTCTTTGAGTCTGACAGAAAGTTTCTACAAGAATTGTTGTCGATGAGACGGGAAAGATAAGTCCTTTTTCCAACGTCGGCAAAGTGCCACTCATAAGTCGGACATTCTCGTGGAGGATAAGAATTTACGTCGTGGCGTCTATTTCAAGCATGACGGAATACTTGATATATTAATATATCCCATTCACAAAATTCCGCATTCATTTAGACTCTTCGTACGACGTGTCCTTATATATTGATGAATTCCTCCATTGTGATGCCATCTTGATCTGAAAAATACATTACAAGATCGAGATTATTCTTAAGTTCGAATCAAATGCTATTTGCGCGATAGAGCGGGAACGAGAACGCAAGGGCATGAATTATTATCGCGCGATTTGTCCGTTCTACGCCGAAGGGAAACGCTCAGTCTACACGTGGGCGAAAAAACTCGGGAAATGTGAATGTACTACGGATAAAATCCGTGAAATTTCATCCGTCTCATTCGGGATATCGATAAAAAAGGAGATATGGATCGAGAAGCACGTTCGCATCAGGGAGGCGCGGAAGAGAACGTGCTGATTACGAGAGTTGAATTTCCCAAAGGAATTTAATTATAAAATCGGACTGTAGTACATCGCGTCGATCGTCTCGATTAAGATGTCGGATAGGATTGTGTTTCGTGTACCCTCAGATAATTATTCCACGTGATTAATATTATCCTTTCCAATTTGTTATTTAATCGACTCCCATTGAATAAAATTGTCGGCGAAAAATCATCTAGCAAAAAAATTATTTTGTTGGTCTCTCGTAAAACAACACTTATTCATGACAATCATCTTTATCGTACCCTTTTAATTTGATATCATTATTCTACCTGCACGTATATTGTGCAATCCGTTTAATTTTTCTTTGTCTAACGTTGGGATATCATTTACTTAATTGCGCCGCAGAACCTTGTTATTCTTTCTATTATTCGTGTTATCTACGGTAAGCTCTTTGTATATTGTAACGAATACTGGAATATTATTTCCGGACAGGGAAAATAGAAACAGCCATATTCTCTTCTTCGGACGGGATAATAGTTGATATACGATAACAGTAATTGATATTATTCTAAAAGAATATTTTTCCCGGGCACGTGATACATTTTTGTGTTCTTTATCTTTGTCGAGTGCCGAATGATGATTTGCGTATATAAATAAACAATATGTATGACGTTAGAATTGAGATTGTTTTCGCTTACAACATGATACTTCGCGATAGTCTCAAATAAACACGTTCACTCGCATTGTTTGCTCACGAAATGTGCTTTATTGCATGATTTGCTTGGTCCGATCTAATGCCATGACCCCATTCGGGATGCATTATATGTCGTAACATGCATGTAAGAACGAATTGTTGTTGAAACATCTCGCTGAAAAATTACGTGAAACTTGATATGTAAGAACGATTTTCCTGAAGTAGAAAATAATAATCGACGTCATAAATAGTTTCATTGTCGCAATCGTGGTAGACGCAACTGCGAGATTAAGTACAAAATTATGCGAATGCTGAGACCTTTTTGCTTATATACGCGTACATTTGAATAACGTCACGCTATGTAAATTGCAACCAAACCGCACCACCATTGGTAATAATTACTTTAGATTGTTACGTTAGTGTAAAATCAGAATTTATGTGGTTTGCCTTCAAATGAACACCAGATTAAAGAAACATTGTATCGAAAATATATTTGTTATTCACATTATCACACGTACTAAATGTATTAAAATATGCATGTCTTATTTTTGTATATTTTTGCACTATAAATCCTGTATTAATTTCTAGATTATTTACATTCAATATGCTTCCCAAACATTTGTTTCCTCTCTCGTATCCAATAACTGTTGCGCTTTACATTCTGATATTTCATATTCTATGTAGCTCGATACTAATCGGAATTAATTGGTCGGATACCAAATATGTTCTCTATTCTCTCGTTGTCGCATTGTTCACAAACCACTCAATAACGTAGGTAATTCATCGGAGAGTTCTTAAACTATGCGTGCACTACGATTACTGCGGTATGTGCTCTGACTATCCTCCGATTGCACGCGCTTCTGTGGTAGAATGAGTAGCGAGTGAAATGGAGCAATTAACGTTCGAATGTTGTTTCTGAATCTGAAAATAGCTGACGATCGATATGTGAGGGGTGTCGACGAGGTAGAGAGAGTTGGGCGAAGGGCATCGTGACGCTTGTGGCATTCGTGACAATGTATGCGACTTCGTGTTCTCATAACATTCACAAACTAGCCGTGAGGAGATCCCCTTTTCAGGTTTTAGGCGCTTGATGAATTAATAGCCCGGATTAAAAGCAAATTGTTCCATAGACTGTAAAATTGCATTTACATAATTACTCTAATTTGCCGGACTATGTGTTCGCGACAATGCTGCAGTGTAGTTAATAGCGAATTATTCTCATTTACTACAATAAAATCGTTTGTATTGTAATATGCATGATGTCCTAAAAATATCGCTTGCAATTATCCGCGTCTCCTTTTGGAATGCATACTTATGTATTTTAAATTGATATTGCATAGAGAGGCTTTCGAACGTTAAAAATTCAATCAAGAAATTGAACATTTAAATGACCGTAAAGAAAATCCATTCTTCTTTGGATCAAGATTCGTAACGTTTTTCTTAAACTTATCGATACCGTTTTTTTTATTGTCAATAAAAATTTCATTGTGTCGAGGTGATACTTTCCGTGTTTGTAAATACTCAATGAAAATGCCGTATCGTGCTAGCCGTATAGTCAAGTCACCGTATAGTCAAAGAAATGTAGAATTTATGCATAGCATTGTGATAACATGCGATAACGAACATGCGAAAAAGAATATCGGGCCTGAAAATTGAACGCGAGACTTCCATACTATAGCGTTAAGGTAGAAAAGGAAAATGGGGATGCAGCCGCAGAAAAACGAGTGAAATTGCCTCTATAGGATGCAGCTAGTGTGCTTCGAGGATGGTACATGCTGGTACGGTGCCGTGAAGTATGCAAATTGTGAATCACTCTGGACTACACACAACTGATTACGTCGCACAGAAAGAACCTTTTGCCCTTCTTCCACCGGAAGAGCCAATATTCTGCAATTGAACGAATAAGCGTATTCGCTATTCGCGTGGAATCGAATCGTTTGGAACATGCGATCTCATGGATTTTGAGCGAAAAAGAGCTATTTTTTTATTTTAGTCGTAATTTTTATCAGATTTTATTATAAATTACATTATT